TAGCATTACGCGATCGCGATGGAAGGAATGTAGCGTGCAATGCTCCCGAGCGTGTAAATACCCGGTGAGGGTCTCGCGACCCCGGCAGACGAGCCGGTTTAGGCCCGCGGCGTTACCGGATGCGCTTATGGCGCGGCGATGCGTGTGACGCGACGTATCGGCGACGTATCGATACGTGCGAACGAGAGGAAGAAGAACGGAGGGAAGGAAGAGGAAAGGGGCAGCGCGTCATTAGGATGCACGTGGTGGGCCGGGGCGTGGAAATACGTCAATGGCAGTAACGTCGGGCCATTGCACAATGGGGCCCCGACGCGCGCTATCGGGCCATACCGAACAATGGACGTGGCGGAGCGGCGCGTAGGGGAACCGGAAACACGTAGAGGAACAACCGAACACCCGGGGATCCGCGCCAACGCTAACGGCGCTCTCCTCTCATTGTCGGGATGCTCGTTGTCGCGGATAGTTGTCGGTGCAACGCTCGCATGAACACGCCGCGGTCTCTTTCACGCGAGCACCGAAAGTGTCAGCGGATATTAGCCCTTCGAGTCCCCGCGGCGGATAACGATCGATCGGATTTGCGAGCGTGCGTCAATCGAGGACTGAGGGGTGACGTTATCACTCGGAACAATGCTCGGAACTGATTGTACGCGGAGTTACAAACCGCGTCGTAAATTGTAAGGACGTTCATTGTAAGGACGAGAAGAGCGCAAGGAATCGTTCGGATTAATCGGATTTCCCGGCGTGTATTGCACGCGACGTTGCTCCGGACCGACAAAGTTACTATTCGATTATGCTCGAAACCAATCCTCTTATAAAGTTAGAAGTACGTCTTATTGTTTGTTGAATAAGAACGATGATGTAAGAAGCAGAAACTTGATCTGACGCGTATTATGCGACTTGTGACTAAAATAGATAGTTTCTATTCAATGTTGGATAATAATTTTCTTTGGAGTTAGAAACCTGCATTTTTATCGATCTCGAGAACCCAGAGAAACTCTAGAAGATAAAAAATAGAAAGCTTTGCCAAAATAGTGCTCGGAGAACGAATCAAAAACTAATTAAGATACAACGGAATAAATCAGTCGCTCGGTGCAACTGTCATTTTTCCGCCCAATCCATCGCTCGAAATTTTTAGTGCCGCTCCAAAAAAGGAATGAAAATGTTAAATTAATATCAAATCGATACACAGAAAGAAAGAAGTCGCGAATTAACAGACACTCGATGCGACGCTGACCAAATATGTGTGAAATAAAATATAAACAGAGATAGGCAAAAATAGAAAACTAGGGCAGTATTTCGATCGTATGAGACAAAGCTAAAGACACAGCTTCGGCAAGGAGATGAATTTGTCGCTCGCTTTTGCTCGATGACAATAGCGCGAAGCGTTCGCGTCGGTATTCATTGCGAGATCGGGCTGAGGAAGAACCGAACGACCGATGAAACATTTCTTTCTGAGGATTCTGTGCGGGAGAAAGCGAGAGAAACGGTAAGTGCGAACAGTGACTGAGCTCGGTACGATAATTATTGCACACTTGCAAAACTACTCTAATGAAACATAATGTTAGGTTTTATTCAATTACACTAGATTGTATAATAGTGAAAAATATTGCACGTTTCTTATGAAAAACTCTTGGGTAAATTACAATTTTTCATCGTATTACTTACACGATTTCTTAAGTTCGACGCACCTTCTGAAGCGTAAAGAATTTCTCGTTAATTTCTTCGCCATAAAAATGAAAATATATAATTAAATTAGAAAGCATGTATCAAAAAGTTCCAAAAATCGAAAGAACTTTGAAATACATTCTCAAAATGATTGTATTCTAAGCAAAACTAATATCAGATGTACTTCGCAACATCTGCTTGATAAAGTTAAAACAATTTAATTGATGAAAAATGATTTATGTATTCATAAATTGCAAACATTTTTCACTTTATTACTTCGTACTTTCACCGCTATTAACGTCATCCTTTTATGTGTGTGTATCATACACATACCATTTGCTTTTAAAGATCCTACATAAATAATGCTTGAGCGAAGGGCCGATTAGTCATCAACGTAATAAGCTTGACGGAGTAATAGTACGGTACGTGTTCAGAAGAGGCAAAGGCGTTTATTATGTAATGCGAAACGGTAAGACGGCTGCAGAAGCCGGGAATTACACGATAAGTTACACAATCCGATTACAGCAGCACAGCTGCGAATCGTCGGTATCTCGTACGTAGAGAAATGAGGAAATTGGCAAAGCGAGTATTTTAGAGATCATCAAAATAATTTGATATTCTTCTGATAAAGTTATTTGCTCTGGAGTATTCCATCAATAACGATAACGGATTATATAGAATTCGTCGAAGAATTCGTTATCTTTAAAAGAAAACACAATTTAGATACTAGATAAATTTTAGAAGACGTAAATGATTTTTGTGCCATTTAGAGAAGCACTAGTGGTACAAATCTGTTTTACAACGGTAGGATAAAATTATTATTAAATTTATAAATTATAGATTGAATAGTATATGATTTTTCCATCTCTATGATTTTCGAACATGCAGCTTATTAAATAAATATTATTTGCAAATTATTATAATTTTATGTTACAGCTATTGTGAAATAATTATTTGACGAAATAAAAAAATGTTATTAAATTTCGAAACATATATAAAATTTTTATACAAAAGAATAAGACTTTTATGCAGAATATTTTTTCATATCGCCGATTCTAGTCATTTGAAATAAACTTTATTATCGTTTAATGTAGATTTTTAATTTTCCATATAAATTTTTCAAATAAATTATAATATAAATTTTTTAGGATACAGAATTTACGACATAATAAATTTGTAAAAATGTAAGTAGGTATATCAAGATCATTAATAGGCAAAATATGCATTATATCGTGCAACGTGTGATTACGCTGCAACAACTTCGTTCAAACTTGATTTA